ATACACCTGGAGCAGAAGTTGTATTTGCTGTGGAGTGTGCATGTGTGTAAAGGTGAAATCAGGGCTCTTTGGAAGCATGGGAGTAGTTGAGAGGCCTTGACCACATCAACCATCCTTGACACAGCCATTCCCAAGATGGGTGTATGGAGTCTGAGGTGAAAACCCCAGAAATTTGGAAGGGATCAAAGAAAAAAAAAAAAAGACAGTTGAAGAACAGAAAAGGGATGGGATGGTTTAAAAGGATTAAAGTGCGGCTAGGCCGATGGCCAGAGAGATCATACGGATCAAGACCAGCAATCTGGCCCCTCAGTGTGCTTGGCTCTGGGTTGCCATGAAGCCAGCAGGGGTAGTGGTCGTGTGTGAGCTACCTAGTCCAGGCTGCCTTCAGGGAGTGTGGAGGTGGGATGGGAGCCAGGCCTCTCCTCTCCTGAAGATCCTGTAGCCCATGGGTACTTTGTCTTTGATAAGCTCATGGTGACCCTGTGCCACCTCCGTTATTATAAGGAGCAGGTGCTCAGCCATAGTGCTAATTCCATGTACTGGGCAATGTGTTCATTAGCTCCAGATGCCCCTTAGGCCAGGAGTTCAGAAAGCCTTACGAGGAGAGTTTCGAGTCACTGTGTGGACAGCATAGGTGGTGCTTTTGTATCAGTAGATGCAGTTGATGGGTGAAGAAGCTTTGGCTACTAGGAAGTGGGGGCTTCAGGGCTGCCAGGTCTGGGTAGGTGAGAGGCATTCGGCAGGTGCTCTCCAGTTTTCATGAGGTGTCACTTTTTCCTCGGTCCTTTCACAGAGTATCCCCTCTATGGGTTTTCCTGCTGGGAGGCAGGCCCAGTTCCCAGGCACAGGCTGCTTGACTCACTGAAGTCTTCCCCTTCGAGGGGCTCACAGGTGGTCAGCATCCTGTGGAGTGTTGACTTCACTGATGATGAAGCCTCTCAGATATCCTAAGAATAGTTGGGCATACTTCCTTTTAGGGAGGGCAGATTTGTAGCTAGTGAAAAGAGAGAGAGGAGTTGCTTCTGTCTGAGCAGGGATCAAGAAGCCAGAGGGCTTATAAGGGCACCCCTGTGCTCTGTGGAAATGGTGGGGGGTCAGGCAGCCCATTCTTGTAGATGCATGGCCTTCTCACTCTATGAAGAAGAGCTCTGATGCTCACAGGCAGGACGAGGTGGCCCATAAGGCCTGATAAGTGAATGCACCAGCTATTTTCCCCCCTTGTCCCTTCCCATCCACACTCATTCATACACTCTTAATCTGAGTGCATGTGCTCTTGGAGGATGCTGTGGGAGAAAGGAAGCCATGATCTGGGCAGATCTTAGAAGAGAGGCTTTAGTGAGGCTTTTATTTAAGGGTTGGTGTCTGCCTGCCTTTCACTTCCTTTACAAGGTGGAAGGTGGCCTCTTGTGCAGGGCCTTCTGTCGGACTCACCTGCTCAGCTGAGAGCCTGGCTCTTTCCTCTGGCCCTGCTACAGACCCCCATGGTGTCCAGTGGCTGATAAGAACTCCCGTTGTTGTCCATCAGTCTTAATAGTGTGCTACATTGTCCTGAGAGGCACCCTTCAGGCTCACCTGCCTGGCCTCCTTACTCTCACCCCTGCTTGAGGTCACAGTGGGGTACTCAGGATCACAGTGAATGTTCACAGTCAAATGGTGATGTCATGGTCACAGTGAGATGGGTACTCAGGGTCACAGTGAGATGGGTACTCAGGGTCACAGTGAGCTGTTCTTGGTCACGTAGGAAGGTCAGGGTCACAGTGATGTGTTCCAGATCACAGTGAAATGTTCAAGGTCACAGTGAGATTCTCAAGGTCACCAATGGTCTCATGGGAAGGTTAGGATCACATTGAGATACTTAAGGTCACAGTGAGACATGAGTGAGGTCAGAGTCACAGTGGAATGCTCAGGGTCACAATAAGATGCTTAGGGTTACTGTGGGATACCCAGAGTCACAGTTTGGTATTGGTCATGTAAAGAGGTCAGAGTCACAGTGAGATGGTCCATGGTAAGGGCCGGATACTCAGTCACAGCGAGATGTTTAATAGCCAAGAAATATTCAGGTCAAAGTGGCATGTTCAGGGTTACATGGACATGTCCAGGTCATAATGATTTGCTCAGGGTCACAAGGAGTCTTTAAAGAGAACATAGAAATGTTCAAGGTTGCAATGAAGTATTCAGTTCATGGTGAGATGGTTAGAGTCACTAGCATGTTTCAGGGTCACTGATGATGCTCATGGACCTGGGAGAACCCATATCATTGTATGTCTTGCCACCTTCCCTGATTTCCCAAGTGACCACCTTCCCTCTATCCCACTGGAGGAGGCTGTAGTCAGGGCAGAACACCCGTGTTAGTTACATTTTTCACTTTTCTATGACTCAGTACCTGAGAGAAACAACTTAAGAATTTATTCTGGCTCTGGTTTCAGAAGTTTCCATTTATCAGAGCAGGAAGGCATGGTATGGTTTATGTGCTGGAGTATGTGGTGGAGAATTCTCACATGGCTGTGGATCAGGAAGCAGACATGGACCATAGGCCCTAACCAGAGACATGTGTAACCTTCAGAGGCTTTCCCCTAATGGCCTACTTCCATCAGCTGGGCCTTCCCACCACAAAATCTCCATAACCTTCAACATGGTGTCACAAGCTGGGGAACCAACTACTTAAAACATGAGCCTATGGGAGACATTCCTGATTCAAGCTGTAAACTTGCCCCTGCATGGTAGCTAATGTCATCTTGTCTTCAAGGCATTAAGTCAGGTACACTTGGTCAGGTGCTTGCCTGTGGAGGGCTGTATTGTGCCCAGGACAGCTCCCCTTGGAGGTTCCAGGCAGAGGATGGCCACTGCTGGGACCCTGCAGATTCATGTTCTCCATCATCTCTCCTGGTCACTTCTTTGAGAATGGCTATCTCTAATGTGCTTTTCGAGTATATGAGGCTACTGCTGGTTTATATTTTCAGCCTCTCATTGGACATGATTTTGAGATGTCAGATTTTAGAATTAATTTATGACAGATGGAATTCATGAACTTGGAGATACCAAACCATAAGAGATTTAATGTTCTGATAACAAAGCCTGGGGCAGAAGTAATTATAGGGTGATTGCTGAAGCAAAATAATAAAATATTATCTAGTTACAATATTATAGTGTTGCCTTATTTGATCTAACCCACTGGAAGGCTCCTTACAGCTCTAAATTTATTGACTACTTCAACTGCTTGAGCTTGTGTGCTATTTTCACTTAGTAAAGGCATGTGCAAGAAACAGTCTGTGTTTGAACATCAAGTTAAGGTCAGTTGTGAGGTCTAGATGGCCTTATTTGTTAAGGAAGTCCTCAGCTCTGGTCCTCATTTTACTTTAAAAAGTTCATCTCACACACCTCAAACTTGAAGGTATCTGGAGTCTTCTCTGCTACCCAGATATGTCCCTCGTGCACCCATCCCAGCCTGGTTCTCCTACTGTCCCCAGATCAGAGTTCAGGAGTGCCAGGTACTGGCGGTGCTCCTACCAAGGCTGTCTCAGGCGTACTCCTGTTCACATAGCTCTGCCTGGTCAGCGCATCTTCCCAGTCTCTCAGCAGCTGTCAGTAGACACCTGCTCTGCCTATCTTTGTGTTTAGATTGCCCATGTTCTCTGTTTATACACTGTGCCATAGTCATGTCTGGGCTCTTTGAGGCTAATCTTGGAGGAACAGTGACATTTGGAGCCAGAGGTGGAAATGCTGTGCTTAATCAGATAGAAATTCTTTACATTGGCAGCTGACAGACCTGTATTTCCCACAGTGAAAGTAACTGATATTGGGCAGAGGTGGACATTCCTGTCTTGGGACAGCCATGCTCCTCTGTGTCTTGTGGCAAATGCCTCTCTCCAGCTCTAGTCCTGTGGCCTGTGAGGCAATAGGACAGACCAGGGGTAGAGACCTGCTGGGGTAACAGTCAGGGTTGGTGTCTGGGGTCCGAGCTGAGTCTCTAGCTGCATGCTAGATGGTGTGACAGAGCAGGAGTCCTCTTGGCCTTTGCCAGGTTGCACTCTGTCTGGTGGTGGTGGGCTTTGACTGGAGCCGGCTCAGGGAGCTGGTCATAAATGCTATGCATTCCTGGGATCGATCCTGTTCTAACCAAAGCAGGCAGTGAGTGCCCTTCTGGTACCAAAGCAGGCCTGAGTATTGGAGTTCACTGCAAACCCCTCCTCAGCCTCTAGGGGGAGTTGGGTTGCAGGGAAAGACCTCTTCTTGCTGGAGTTTACTTTGTGCTGGAATTTACTTTGTGCCCAAATCAATGATCCAAGTTTGATTTGTCAACTCATCTCCTCTGAATCTTTCTAGAGTGTTCCATGTAGCTTTGAGAACAGCCATTTCATATTCTTATGGGCATTGTTTTGCTGGGGCTGCCTTACCAGAGTGCCATAGAGGGAGGGGGTTTCATAACAGAAATGTACTGTCTCACAGTGCTGGAGGATAGGGGCCCAAGATCAAGGCGTGGGCAGGGATGGCTCTTCCTGGGGCCTCTCCTGGCCTTAGTGATGCCATTTTCTCCTGAGGCCTCACATGGTCCTTCCTCTGTGTGTCTGAGTCCTAATCTCTTCTTATTAGTTAGGTTGGATTAGAGCTCACTCTAATCATTTTGCCTTAATTACTTGTTTAAAGGCCCTGTCTCTAAATATAGTCTCATTCTGAGGTCCCAGGGGGTTAAGGTTTTAACATAAAAATTGGGGAGGGTGTGAAATTTAGCCCAAAACACTAGATGTAGCTGTAGCTCATTTCCATGACTTGCTATGGCCTTGCCATCTGCCTGGGCAGACAAAGGTGCTTGCGCCCCACGTGGCCCCTGTTCTGCTTTACTGTGGGACTGGACAGTGCTTGCAGAGCTCCTGGGTGGCTATGATTTTGGGGGCTGGCTGCAGGGGTGTTGGGGGAGGCTCTGTGTGCTCCTATGGTGGCCCATGTCCACCTGCATCTGGCTAGTCCAGGCCCTACACACTGTACCTGTTCTCTCCCTACAGCTTGGTGCCAATGCCCTGCTCTTTGTGGGTGTGAACATGTATGGTGTCTTCGTGCGGATCCTGACTGAGCGCTCACAGAGGAAGGCCTTCTTGCAGGCTCGAAGCTGCATTGAGGACCGGCTGCGGCTGGAGGATGAGAACGAGAAGCAGGTCAGTATGTTTAGAGCAAGGTGGCCCTTTGGTCATCTCTGCCTCTCTCTCATCTGTGCTGGCTTCAGTCATGTGGGTCAGTTAATGAGGGGCAGCTGTAATTGTGGAGTGCCCACCTCTGTTCCCCTTGAGCCTCAGTCTATCCTTCAGCGGCAGAGGCTGCAATACCCAGTTTCATGATGGTATCTGAGGAAGAGAGAGGAATCCGGTGGACAGATTATCTGGGTCGTGCTGCCCTGCAGGGGTTGATCTACCCCTAAGTCATGGATGACCAGGGAGAGTTGTACGTAGGCTTCTTGTCTTCCTGATGCACCTAGGTTTTCTCAGGATTGGGAGGATGAGATAGGTCCTGGGCACACTTTACCTGAACATGAATGTGCAGCTGGCCCTGATCCGCTGGCCTCAGGCATCCAACTTGTGCCTTCACCAGGAGAATCCAGGAGCTTCTCCTAGCTTAGGGTTCGCAGACCCTTGTGCACCTGTTGCTAGAGTCTCACAGTGGTTGTCCAGGCTACAAGACAGACTATCCATTTTCAACTCATTCTACTCGTTTTGTAAATAGAAGATTTTATTATATCCGCCATAAATTTAGAAAAAGTCTTCTCATCTCTAGACACTGTAACGAAATCTAGTGTTTACAGTAAAAATTGGATCTCATTGAGGAATAGAGCACATATGTGTGTTTAGTTCATGTGTGTGTGTTTATGAATATGTGGATGGGCATGTGGGGGCAGTATGTGTTTGTGTGAACAGTTGCATGCATACCTGTGGAAATACGTATGTGGACATGTATACATTTGTGTTTGTCTTTGCACATGGGCACATGCATCTGTGTGAATGTCTTCATGTGTACATATGTTGTATACATTTCTATTTATAGGTGTTTGTGTGGTTGCATGTGTGCATACCCAAATATACATGTGTCCAAATGTGTAGTATATATGTTCATATACAAATACGTGTGTGAATCATGTATGTTCCGAGGCCTCCTTCTTAGCTTCTAGGATCATCCTGTTGGCATTGACAGCTCCAGGGTATTTTCGAAGAAGTTCTTGAATGTGGCCTTTTCTTTTTTTGAGACAGGATCTTGCTGTGGAGTGCAAGCTGTCCTTGAACTCTTGATCCTCCCGCCTCAGCCTCTCAAATGCTGGAGTACAGTTGCGTACCACCATACCCATGTTGATCTTGGATTTATGACCTTCACAAGATCTAGAAGTGAATCTTTGGCAGTCTGTGTCCCTAACTTCATTCTCTGCAGAGCTGGAGCAGCAGACGCCTCTGTGGGCCACGCTTGTGTGCATCTCTGAGCGAGCCAGTTGTTTCTTTCTGATTTACTCCCCTTTCCTGTCTCCTGCTCAGAGTGCCTCCTGCATCCTCTGTTTTGGTCCGTTTTCATTTCTTTCTTGCTTCTGCTGCCTCTCCTGACTGCCTTGCTGCCTAGCATTATTTCTTTCATACTTTTTTCACGCCACCTGTAGGTAGTTTTATTTTTATGTATCCATAGTTTAATTTAATTTTGATTAATATGTATTAATTTTATATGGTAATTTATGTGGTGTAATGTGATATTTCATCATGCGTGTGTAGGAGGCACTGATCAAATCAGGACAGTTAGCATTTCCTTCCTGGTTATTTCTTTGTCTCACAGTCTTCATAACATATGTAATAGATCGTTGTGAAATACAGTCACTCTGCTATGCCAGGAACACCAGAACTTACTCCTTTTGTTTCACTGTGTTGTGGTACCTGTTACCCAACCTTCTTTTATAGCCCACCTTCTGGTACCCAGTAGTCTACATTTATGTCAACTTAGTTTTGCTCCTACATGTGAGAAAGAACATACAATATGTAGCCTTTTGGTTGTCTGGTTTATTTAACTTACTTGTTGTATCCTCTGGTTCCATTCATTTTGCAAGTGACATGATTGGTTCTTCTTGGGTAGCTGAATAATACACACAGCACGTTTTCTTCATCTCTTCATCCACTGGCATATCTTGGACGCCTTCCCCACTTCACTCTTGTGACGGGAGTGCAGTAAACTAGTCTGCCATTGCTGCTTGAGTGTGTCACCTATCTGGTTTTGCAGCAGTTCTGGGAGCAAAGCTGTATTTCTAGCTCTGTGGATGAGGAAGGCAGACTGGAGGAAGTCCAGTCTTGGTGGCATTTGGGTTCTCAGGAAGAAAGTTTCCAAATGGCAAGGTTGTCGTTGGTCTTGTTAGCCCATCTCAGTGCTCTTCACTTTCAAGGGTTTGTGTTCATGTGCATTTGTAGCTTCACTGCTGTCATTTTGGCATCTATATATTCTTCTTTTCTATGCTGTGGCTTAACATTTTGCACAGGTGTAACCACTCATATTGTACCCTGAGCTCCTCTTTGCACATTGCTCCAGAAGTCTCTGCAGCTGTTATTTAGATTCCATATTTTCAAATTTTTGTCTTCAAGTGTTCATCTAGATTTGAAATAGTATTTCCTTATATTTTTAGGGGTGTGAACGCAACATTTCCTGGAGTGTTTTCCTAAGGAGTGTGCTTCTTTATTTCTTTAAGTAATACCTCGTTATAGTCCACCCCTGTAGCACTTTCCAGGCCACAGCATCAACTGTCCTGGGGATCGATTATCAGGCCCCATCCATCTTTGGGGTGGAAAAGCAGAGCCAGGTCCAGGATAGTTAGGTTTTACTGAGTGGTTCACAGTGCCTGGTGATACTTCTTATCAGCTTTCCCACCTTGTCCTGGTCTTCCCTCCTGCCCCTGTCTCTTTCTCTGTCTTTCACTCTTTGTTTCGTCTGCCCTTTCTGTCTGTCCCTCTTTCTCTGTCTTTTCATGTCCCTCTGTTTCTCTCATTCTGTCTCTATCTCTCTTGCTGTATTTTTATGTTACTAGCTCTCTACTTGTGGGACACACACACTCTCGACTGTCTCTCTCCATTTTGATCTCTTTGTCTCTGTCTTTGTCCCTTTCTATCTCTTTTTGCCTCTCTGTTTCTCTGTATCTCTGTCCTTCCCTTTCCCTCCTCTTTAGTCACACCATAGTCTCTCCTGTTTATCTTGCCCTCCTTATTTATTTCCCTTTTTCTTTTATGGTGCTGGGGCTGGAACTCAGGACCTCAAACATGCTAGGCAAGCACTTTACCAACTGAGTTCTCTTCGCAACCCCTATGGGTTCATGTTTCTTGGTGAACCATTGCTCTGCCCTCCTCTGTATTCTGGGCATTGGGTGAGAAGCCCATTCTGCTCTTTGGCAACAGAATCCACACTGTCAGAGGCCTATGCTTCCTGGCTTCTTCCCATAGTTTAGCTGTACTTTGTATGAAAGTCATCCATGTTTTCTGTCTGGTTTCTTCATTTGTCTTAAAGCAGAACCCATCTTCTGATACTTATGTAGCACGTGAGGACTTGGCTTCAGTAAGTTTCTTTGTCTGCCTTTTGGTCTCTGAGTATTTCACATTTCCCCTTTCTGGGTGGCCTGGGGGACCTGGGACCCTGGAGACTCCTGCTACTTGCTGGCTATTCTTTTGCACAGAGCCTACTGTCTTTAGGATGGTGAATAGAAGGGTACACTAGGGGCCCAACAGTGCCTGTAGCTCCTAAGCTCAGGGTCCATCTCCTAGGGATCCCTTGGCGATGAGGGAGCATTTCTGCAGAAGTGTCCTCTGTGTTCACATGATACAGAAGCCTCCCCAAGTGGCCAGTGAGGGATGGTCAGTTCTGTTCATGACACATTTCTCTTCTGGGGCTGTTTCTTCAGCCCTACAGGCCATTAAGGTAGTAGGGTGGATGATGAGATGGAAACTGGGGGATGCTGCCTGATCCTGGGGAGCTTCTAGCTTTTGTACCCCAATTCGAGGAGGGGCTGTTGGGGAACTGATACTGGGAGGGATCCATGATTGCATCTTGACCATAGTAGGAGATCTTATGGATGAATCCTTACTCTGGGAGGGGTCAGTGTCATCTGCAGGAAATGGTGGAAGGTAATGTTCAGAAGGTCTAGGAGGTGGGGCCTGAGCAGGTGGAGCCTCAGAGCACCAGGCAGACAAGGACCCCTGGCATAAGCAAGAGAGAGGTGTCTGGACATATGAGTATGGGGGAGGGGTCAGTGCCCAGGTGAGATCCTGGGGAGAACTGCTAGGGAGGTTGGAGGTCGCTTTTCTTCATTCCTTAGGGATTTCAGTTTGGACTCAGTTCACAGAGCAGGTGTTGCACTCAAGAGACCCAGGTTTGTGCCTACCACATGAGCTGTGCTTCTGTGGCCACACTGAATCTGAGCCTATGGAGGGCAGAGCACAGAGCTGCTGTTTTAAGACCACAAACTTCCAGGTGACTACCCCCTTTGGCCACTCCTGTGCTGTCCTAGGGACCCAATGGAACTGATAGAAACCTTGGGACATTTGTGGCCCTGCCCAGCACAATTGTGCAGGGCTGTAGTGTAGACCACAGGGCCTCAGCCCTTTCCTTCTGTTTACAAATCAGTTGCCTAGATCCTGTTACAGTAGCTGTTCTTGTCCAGATTCCGTTACTTTTGATTGTGCTGACAGCTTTAAGCCTTGGAGAGAACCTCAAAATATCCTGGTTGGTAGAATCATGTTGAAATTTGCCAGCCTGGACCATTGAGGTATTTGATACTGAGTGGCTGTGTGTTTTGCCCTACCCCTTTGGCATAAGGTTATTCACTGCGGCCACCAGAGTCTGTGCCTTCTGTGGTGTTTAGTGCTGATGGTCCTGAGGAAGCAGCAGGGCTGAGCTGGGGCCTGGCCCCACCTCTGCTGAAGCCTGACTCCCCACGTTGTCTCATGCTATAAGGCCTCCATCATTGTGAATCAACACAGTGCACTTAACTCTACTTTAAAGGAAGAAATCACTTTATCTGAGGAACATAGGTGTGGCCAAGACCAGGAACATGAATTCAACATGGAATGACATGCTCCATCATGGAAGAAGTTACACGAATTTGTATGGCCATAGTGTAATACTTATAAACCAACGAATTCAGCAGATACAGTGT